TAATATATATAAATATATGAAAAATTGATGTGGGTACTCAAATGAAAGGTCTCGATGAGTGTAATTTCGGGATGAGCTTATATCTTTAAAAATATCATTAGTTGACAAGATACAAGGTCATTTCTTAATTAAGAACATTTTTAAAGATACAAGCTCATCCCGATGTTACACTAATCGAGACCTTTCATTTGAGTACCCACATGGCATTTTTTATATATTTTATCTATGGTATTTGTGAAATATATAAATATGTAAAATATATGAAAAATCGATGTGGGTACTCAAATGAAAGGTCTCGACGAGTGTAATGTCGGAGTGAGCTTATTTCTTTAAAAATGTCAATAGTTCACAAGATACAAGGTCATTTCTTAATTATGTATCAAGTTCAAATCAAGACCTTTGTAATGATACTAAATTTCACTAAAAAAAAAAACCGATTTTATCATATGACTATCCTGGACAAAAACTTTTTCTTATTCTCTTAATAATAAAGATTATTAATGATAATAATTAACAATTGAGCGTTTAAATTACTTGTACTTTTTATTTGGTTAGCTGCTTTACAACAACACGAACAAGCGATTAGTAAGTTTTTAATAATCAAGATTAAAAATTCACTTTCACTTACCTTAACTTAACTGCCTGTATTATTGATTTTCTCTACTTAATAATTAATTAAATAATTATATTTCAAAAAAATTACTGTACAAATTATTATTTGTTGTGTTAATTGTGTAATTTAATTTTAGGTATGAATGGAAATGGAAGTTATACACCACTGAGAGTCTACCACAACGGCCTGGGCAGGAAAGGACAATTTAGATACTAAGTGTCAATTAATAAAAAAATAACTAAGAGATTCTTCGAGTCGCGCGTTAAACTTCTTTACTTGCAATTTATTCAAACTTACTTTAATAAATGATCTTTGTAAGTTCAGTATGATTTAACAAGCCGATTTAAGCTCGAAAGAATCTCACGGTTCATCCGCGGTCGTCAGTTGCTATCGCGGACAGAGCAAAAGATAAAAAAAATGTTCAAATTATTTTAGTGATGGAGTATCCACTTGTAATTTTTCTAATATATTTTTTTATACTATACACAGTGCATTTTATATTTAAGAAAAAAGTGAAACTGAAACTGCATTTTAGATTTTAATGTTATGTATTTATTTATTTGATAAAACTAAAAAAACGCTTTTAATAAAGTAAAGTATTAAGTGCTATGAATAAAAATATATATAATACAAAAAAAAGTTATTAATTAATTTATTATGTTATTTTTACTTACAATAATTCCATTCATTCATAAATTTCGTTAATAAAATTATCTCTAGCATTCTCTTTCTCACATACACACTCATAATCAAACAATTGTACATCATTCATTCATTTATTTATAATTAATTCTAATATTAATACTAATTATCATTTAATTACTATTGATAACTTACAATTAATGTATTGTTGATTTTACGATCATTTATTGTGACAAATGAGAAATTATTAATTATTTATTTATTAGCTTTTGTTCTTTTAATTTCTGTTGATTAATAATTATTATTATTTTTACTCGAAAATTTATAAATTTAATTAATAAACTTATCAAAAAAAAAAAAATTCGATTTAAAAAAATCTCCAATTAAAAATAATTTAAATCAACAGAAATATTTGATTAATATTTACAGTCTATGCGGTACACAGTAAATCATTTTGCATCATTGCATCAAAAAACAGTGTTAAAAATTTTTGTGTTAAATATTTTTAACACAAAATTTTTTGACGCAAAATTTTTTACTATGTAAATTATGTCAGCACTTATGCAAAAGTATAAAAAATACATAAGGGGATATTTTATAAGATAAAGTTACTGCACAATAAAGTGATAGTAATATCAATCATAATTATTATCTAATTATAAAAAAAAAATATACTAAGCTGATAAAGAAAGTAAAATCAATTATATGTCTTATTTTGTTACAAAATGTAGAGAAATAATTAAAAAGATACAACAAAAAAAAAATATATATATTTATAATATATAAATAAAATTAGTCAAGAACCATACACTCGTCTTCTTCATCATTGTTTCTCCATCTATCAAATTGATCAACACTGTTGTTTTCTTCAATTAAAGTTTTAACAGCAATCACAGTTTCCTCGTGTTTGGCTTCTTGACTCGCTGTCAATTTATCCTCGTTATTTTCCCGCGAGTCATTCAATGATTTAGCGGGAGAAACTCCAGGAACATCATCCAGTTCTATCGATGAATTATTATTCAATGGTTCAGGTGATTTATGATTCGTAACTTCAATATTCAAATTTTCCTCATCAATTTCATTACCATCAGAAATTTCTTTATCGCCATTACAGTCGTTCAAAGTCTCCAAACTAGGCTCAGAAGGTCTGTCAACATTTTCTTCAACATCCATCGCCTCGCCACTGACATTGACCACATCAATATCATCTTGAGACGACGTATCAACTCTAGTATCATCAGAATTTTTTTCACTCTCCTCAACACCTGGCTCCTCGGCAATTATATTAACCGGAGTTTTTCCTCGAACGGGTTCTCCGAGGTCAACGACATCGACATCAACATCATTCTCTTTTTCCTTCTCATCACTAACTTCATCCAACCTCGGAGATCGATCACAATCTTCTTCAATAGTCTTTTCTTGTCTCGCGATATCCTTGTCAATTAAATCAGTCAGCGGTACTTTCTCAACAACATCTTCAGTGTCTTCATCTTCACCCCGATTCTCCAGATGTTGCAAATAAAAAATAAACTGCTCCTCATACTTTCCAAAATTATGATCATGAATCTTGGTAGGTTTATAAATTTCTTCTCTCTTTTCAAAGTCGTAGTCCGTCCTCATAAGCAACGAGTACCCGATAGTCCTATCATAGTCCTTGGTCTCAATAATCTCTTCTACTTGCACTCCCTGGCTTTTAGTCTGAATCTCAGTATTAGTGCTCCGATTTATCATGTCTTTTTCAAGAAAATGTCTAACTTTACCCGTAAAATCAATCAGTTGTTCCACATCAACATCATCAACTTCATCTAGCTCATTATCAGAATCTGACTCACTCTCGCAGTCCATATCAAAAGGCGTGTATTTAATACTCCGCTCTCCTTTTTTCATTACAATTTTATTAGTATTTTCATCAATCGGGTCTCCAGTAATTAAAGACTCCTTCCAGGGTCGATACTGCTGAATCATAGTGTTATTAAAAGCCGACAATTCATCAACAGCTTGATAAATACACCGATTAATAGTAGCAAGCCTAACTCTAGCATTATGAGCTTCATTGTCCGCCAAATTTCCAGCTGCCTTTTTTAACTCCATCCTTAGCTTTCCTCGAATTTTAGTAATTAATTTATCAACTTCTTTAATAGGGTTGTAAATAACATCATCAAATACCTTCCTCCGAGGATTGTCTAGAGACATTATCGGTGATCGGTCTTCAAGTCCGGCATTAGCTAGTGCCACAGGATTGATAACTTTAACAGTTTGACCGGAGGTCTGCTGAGCTTTGGAGCTTTCGGTGGTGTTGTTGGTAACTGGGAGCTCTTCGGGGTCGCTGTCGATGTCTATGACACTGGGAGTCGTCGAATTAGGCGTAGTTAGAGCCACCGTGGGGAGAGCCGTGAGATTCTTGCATCTCAAAAAAGTCTTGGGGGTCTGATTGACGTTGGCAGTAGTTATAGGAACACTTCGCCCGGGAATAGTCACCATTGGAGCGTTAGGTCGGGTGGGTATCCTTGCAAGTCGGTGTAGCGTCGCTCCGGGAGGCACTGAGTCTAGTCTTATCGGACGGAGGTTTATAATATTACCCGGTGGCCCGTGGAACAGATTTTTGGGGATCGGGTTCAGTGAGATCGCACTGTTGTTCAGAATAGAGTCTGGTATTTTAGCGTTTGGCTGGTTAGGAAGTACTTGTCCGTCCCCTTCGATCATCGTCTGCTCAAAGTGCAGCAAAGGTGCAGGTATATCGTCCTTGTCGGAAATGTGAGCGGGTGGGCTTGGTTCTGCAGGCAAAAACCGCGTAGAAGATAAAAATCTTGTGTTTCCATTTGAAATCACTTGCATTGGTTTGTTGGTGTAATTATGGTCTTTTGATGTAGATTTACGGTTTTTATTGGAGCCGTTTTTGACTTTGCTCTTTTTAGCGGAACTTCCTTGGTCAATATCATCATTTAACGAACTGGATGATGATACTGAACGCTTACGGCGGGTCGAACGCTTTCCTACGCAACATTTTGAGTCATCCTGTTCCATTTTGTTTTCTATGTCCTTTTGCGACATCGTAGGATTACTCTTTAGTATTCTAAATTTGGAGTAGAATTAAAATTTATTTAATATTATTAATTTACAAGGATCATAATTAAGTAAATGACAATACTAAAGTTGGCCGACGTTTATAATTTCTTAATTTTTTATCCATTAATTAAATTAGAACAAAAACATATTTTTTTTTAAAATTGCACTTAAAGTTTTTTACAAATGAAATTTTTTTTTCATTTTTTTTTTAATAAAAAAAAATTCTAAAAATTTTTAGATGTCGGCTAGCTTTATTTTCAAAAATAAATGATACAGAAGTTAGCCGACGTTTTTAATTTTTTTTTGTAATAATTTTCTTAATAAAAAAATTTTTAGATGTCGGTTAACTTAATTTTCATAATACTAAAATTAGCCAACGTTTTTAATTTTTTGAATAATTAAATTAAGACAAAAAAATATTTTTTAATAATTCCACTTACAGTTTTTAAAGTTTTTTACAAATGAATTATTTTTTATTTTTTTGTAATCATTTTTTTAATGAAAAAAAAATCTTAAAAGTTTTTAAATGTCGGGGCTAACTTAATTTTCATATTAAATAAATAAAAAGTTGAACATAACAACTTACCTCGTAACAGTTTTTACGTGGAGTAACAAAGCTCGACACACACCTCTCAGTGTATAAAGATCCTTTGGATCGCATACAAAACACCGCCATTTTTCGTCTTCCTCAATCCTTTCACGTACCTCAGCGTCGAAATTTCGCTTGATACACTTGTCGCAAAATGTATTACAGCAGTACGAGCAGCAATAAAGGTTCCCGCCATTGGCACACCAACGGCAAAACATATCCGTTGCGTCCTCGCCTGATTTTAAACAATCGCATCTTCTCAAATATATATTTTCACCGGGTGATTTTATAAATGTGCTCAAGTTTTTTCTTGATCACATTTAGAGTTATTTTAAGCAATTAGATAGTTGAAAAAAAAAAAAAAAAAAAAAAATACACACCTTGTTCGAAATCTCCGTCACCGTAAAATTCTCGACAATGGGCACACAGCAAGGTCTTGAGCATTGGATGTTCTTGCATATTGTATGCATCGATTGGTGCTGATCCAATATGTTCATCACAAGCTGTACAATGGAGTCTACGAAATCGTACTTGAGCAACATCTGTAATAATAAATAAAAAATAAATTATTATCCATCATTTATTATAAACACAAATTGAGTCACTTTTATTTCTTAGTAATTTTTGTTCATTACTCCATTTGTTTATGACATTAAAGATATGAGTCGCTTGACCATTTTTTAATTTTTTTTAACAAACAAATTTGTTCCAAAAAATTATTTTTAAAAAATTACATCTTTAATTTTTTTAAATTTCTACATGTCAATTTTTTCTTCTAATTTTTTTTTGCTATAATTTATTTGTTAAAATGCTAAATTAATTTTCATCATTTTTTTTTGTTATTAAAATATTTATAGCTTAAAAATTTTTATTCTAAATAAATATACAAAGCATGGTGTCAAAAAAGAAAAAATAAATTAAATTGATACATAAAAAAAATTATTTTGGCAAAACTGAATTATTTTAAAAATTAAAAATTGTAGTAAAAATATTTTGAAAAACTTAAACTTGGTTTAAAAAAAAAAGACATGATTACAAACTCACCATTTCCAATCATACGACGATAAAATTTTGATTCTTCCGGCGTAACAATTTCTGAAGGTCGATATTGGATAAAATTTTTAGGTTTTTGATCAACTGAATCTAATAAATAAATAAATAATTATTTAATATAATTATTCACAAAGATAGCAACGACGAGAAAAAAAAACTAACCTGACGATCCGAGTTCTGGTGACGCCTGACCCTCATTGACTTGCACCTCAAGTAAACTCGAAATATCCATCTCGATTTATAAAAACAAAATAAAATAAAAGAAAAAATGATAAATCCGAGTGAGATTATCTTATTGCATAGTAACTGGAGAGACTGATGATGTATGCTGATGTCGGGTGAATGTTTTACCGCCCAAGTCTCGGTAAAATCGTTACTTCAGTACTTCATCACTCAGTTAAATGCCAGATCCATTTCATTAAAAGCCCGCAACATTTTCCAGCGCCTATTTTCACAAAATATATTTATATTGTTACATTATATGGGTATTTATAATATACCAACATATATATAATTAACGTAAGCAGTAATATGTACCTGGTGTCTGTGTCTACGAGCTTATTCACAGTTCACGGAGTATGAGTATATACAAAATTGATTTAATCACAAACCACCACTGAAACAATTGAATAAAAGAGAGGTTATGTGTCCAGGTAATGCTACCGTATATACACTTAAATATACAGTAATTTTTTTTTTTTTAAATGTATGAGTTATTGCATTTATCTTTATTTGTGGGATACGTGATTATAAATTACACCTAGGTGCTCAGAGATCTTAAGATCAACCAACACAAAACGAGGGCTTCCGTTTTTTCACTCTCGATATTAAGTCTCGATATGTCCACAGTGCTTTTAAAATTTTGGCGGGACTGTGACACTGTAACTGGCTCCAAGATGGCTGATTGTTTAATTATTCAAGCACGTGCACCTCTCAAATTATTTTTTTAACCACATTATCATCTAGAACACTGAAAAAATTAGCTAATTTTAATTAATAATAATTTATTTAATATTTCAGTTCACTTGGCAATTTTTTCCCACCGGAAGAGCACTAGTAGCGCCGTCTTTCCAAAAAACTACGGAGTAAATTGATAATTGCGCTTATTTATGGCCTTTCTTCTGTAATTGGAGCTTAAATTTGCAGGTAAAGAGCGTTAAAAGTTGGAATCTCAATTATTTAATGGAAAAAAGAGCTTAAAAGTAAAAAATTAATTTTTTATTTTATAATTATTGAGAAATAATTATTTCTTTGTTTTTGTAGGTTATAAATTAATCGCTGACAGGTGTCAGGCCAGTAGATAGAGATAGTCGATTAGTCGATTTATGAAGAATCGATATCTCGAATTGTTTGTATCGGATAAGCGCAGAAAAGATGCGCGTGGAAATTAGCCATAACCCGGGAATAATATTTTATTTACAAATGGCGACGACGGTCACGGTTTTATCTTCGATTTTTATTATTAAAATTATTTCTTATCTCTACTACTTGATTTCTATTAATTAAACAAATAAAGTAATGATAAATAATGAAAATATTGATGACACTGCTAAAAAATTGACTAAAGAAATTCAATGTATGAGTAATTATAAAAATTTATACAATGAGATCCAGGTAAGCGATCAATTTTTTAATTAATAATGATTAATTATTTAATAATAATTATATTACAGAGAATTGTTGCTTCCTCGGCTGTCAAAAAGGATAATTTTAAAAGTACATTACTCGAAGCGTTGAAAAATAATGGTGTTGAAACAGAGATAAGAAATACTGTTTTTCATTGGACGCGGGCTCAAGTAATTGACTTTTTTTTTTATATAAATTATAAGTTTAATGATAAAAATTAAGTTAACTGACATCTAGTCAAATTTTTTCAATTTTTTTTTATTGAAAAAATTATCAAAAAATAAAAAAAAATATTTCTTTGTAAAACTTGAAAAACTATAGATGCAATTTTTAAAAAATATTTTTTAATTCTAATTCTAACTTTAGTATTATAATCAAATTGATTATTTTATTAATAATAATAACAATAGTTTACTTCAATCATACTTAATCTTATTCAAGGGACCGTTGCAGTCATCAGAAGAAAAAAAATCAAACGTCGATTTAAATTATTTGAAAAAAGCCCAAATACAGTGGGAGAGACGAATTCACAAGTCATTAAATTCAATGTGTAATGAATTAAATATTCCGCTTGCAAGAATTCGTCCAAGCGCTGATAAAGATGAATTAACAGACAAATGGAATGAACTGAGTACTTTTGACATTGGTATGTTTAAATTATTTATTATAATAATAATAATAATGGTTTTATTTGTATCACATTGACAGTGTTTTACAATTATTATTTATTATTAATTATGATTGACATTTGTTAATTAAAGAAATTTTTTTAATAGATTTGTCTTCGTACCGTCCTTTGTACGCCCCAAAAGATTTTCTGGAAGTACTTTTTAGTGTTCATGACCCAGCGGTGAAGAAACAGATTAATGAGCCTAAATGGGAGTTCAGTCACATTCAAATTCAAGTTAAAACTTTAGAGCAGCTGGTAATTATTTAATTTTCATTTAAAATAAAAAAAAAATAAACATTTTAAGTAATTTTCTTAGAGGACGACCTACGCAGAGTTAGCACAAGGGGTAGCTTTATTAGGAGTAAATAATGACATGCCAGCAGCAGGAAAGTTTGTGAATCTTGAAGCAGAACGTACTGATTTTGGGGAAAAAGTTCTTAGTAGCAATCACGCACCTATAGCACAAGAATTTTTAAAACGTGGAGCTCCTAGGGCTCTTCGTGGTCGTCTCTGGTCGCTAGTACTTGGCTCCGTTGTCAAAGATAGCGTACGTATTTATTAAATTCATTTAAATTACTAATTGATAATTTAATTATATTAATTTTAGGACAGAAAGTACTATGAAGAATTAAAAGAACTAGTTTTACAGTACGACATCATGGTCGATAAATTGATAATAAAAGACGTACAATTAACAGCAAGTAACGACGACCAGTACTTCGTGTTCGAGGATGTCCTTTACAAGACAATGTTATGTTTTTCCCGAGACTCAGAAGTCCTGGCGCCGGTTACGACTGATAGAAGCGCAGGCGGGCAAGTAATTCACGCGATTCTCCAAGGAAAGCCGGCAGCTCTGGAAAATACTTTAGTTTTTCCACCAAGTGGTGTAATTCCGTTCCACGGTTTTACTATGTACGCAACACCATTTTGCTACTTGTACGACGACCCTTGCTCGATGTACTTCACCTTCAGAGCATTTTATTTGAGATACTGGCTGAGACTTCACACGGTTTCCAGTCATGAGCAGGGAATTGTTGCTCTGTGTCTGCTGTTCGAGAGATTATTGCAGTGTCATGAACCTCAACTGTGGGCTCACTTTAGAAATATGAAGATTCAACCGTAAGTTTTTTATTTATTAAATAATTACTTTTGTTAAATTACACTTTACTTTCTTAAATATTGACATTTTTAAAGATATAAGCTCATCCCGATGTTACACTCATCAAGAGCTTTCATTTGAGTACCCACTTGCATTTTGATATATTTTTCATATATAAATATATAAAATATATGAAAAATTGATGTAGGTACTCAAATGAAAGGTCTTGATGAGTGTAACATCGAAATGAGCTTATATCTTTAATAATGTCAATAGTTCAGTAGATATTTTTTAAAATGTCCTGTACTTTCTTAACTACTGACTTTTTTAAAGATATAAGCTCATTCCGATGTTACACTAATCAAGAGCTTTCATTTGAGTACCCATATGCATTTTTATATATTTTTCATATATACATATATATATATAATATATATAAAATATATGAAGATTGATGTGGGTACTCAAATGAAAGGTCTCAATGAGTGTAACATCGAGATGAGCTTATAACTTTAAAAATGTCAATAGTTCACGAGATACAAGGTCATTTCTTACTTATGTATCTAGAGATAGAACATTTTCGAATGGAGCCTAAATAATATAGATTTAATATTTTATTTATTACAGAGTAAAAATTGTATTCAAGTGGTTAATGAGAGGTTTCAGCGGACACCTACCACCAGAGCAATTACTTTATCTTTGGGATCTTATTCTAGGATATGATTCTTTAGAAATAATTCCTTTACTTGCAGTAACGATTCTTAGTTTTAGAAAAGAGAATCTTTTGCAAGTTAATAATTTAGTCAATGTCGAGGTAATTTTTTTTTTTTTTTTCAATTAATTATTTCATAAATAATTAACACAATAAATTTATAAAAAAAAAGTGCTTTTATTAAACTATTTTTTTTTTAAAGGCCATCCTAGCAGATCTTTCGTCTCTGAAAGTAATGCCACTGCTTCAACTAGCACTATTGAAAGAATAAAAAAAATAAAAATTGTACAATAAATAAATAAACAAATATTAAATTTTAACTATCAAAGACAAGTATTTAAAAAAAGGCGGTAGTAAATAAATAACAGTACTTTCAGTCGGTATATTATCCACTAGAAGCTTTGTCTAGACTACTGTCAGTACTAGATAGATACAGTACCTGGCGATTGCGAGTGAACAAGGAGTATGACGAGGGTGGGGCGAGAGTGAGACGCCGTACATACAGATAAGTCTGACAAAGCCAGACACTACTCGGGAGGGTTCTCTTTTCCGGCTGTCATACGCGACGCCTGTCACCGCTACCAAGTGTTTATACTGCATTTGTTAAAAATATATTAACATTTATTGAGTTACCAAACAGTGTCCAGTGACAAGCACCTACTTGTTATCAATCAGTGAGTATTGCATAAATAATAACTCCTAACTGTAAAATATGAATAATAATATTAAGATAAAAAATATATGATAGTTCAATTGTACATTGTATTGTAGATTTCAGATAGCAGATAGCAGATAGGAGATAGTGTAGGTATACGTTTATAACCAAGTTTTAGTTGCACCCCGAGTAAAGAACGAGTGAAGCAAGAAGAGGGTGGGGTAGTTGGGTAGTTGCGGCCTCACCCCCGAATAATATTAGTCATGCACAGCTTTATGTTACGGTAAAACACCCTCGACCCTGTTGAGTACAACAGTAGCTTTACTTCTCTGTTACTGTGACTAGACTGGTTACGCGACATCATTTTGTTGTGTCTTTTTAACATTCTATTATATCCCGTCGAAACAATCTAGTCTCTTATTCACCTCCCAACTCAGTGGTCTCTACTCTCATTGTCTATTGCGTGCTGTACATTTACTTTGTTCGGTTTATTTAATTTTTTTTTTTTTATATAATTATTTTTTTATCCATTATTACTCAACTAGGTACTGTTACCCTTCAATGTAACAGCCGATTAAAATTTACTGTCAATTTAATTTAATTTTTATTGTATAATACTTTTAAATTTAATTATAACATCCATCATATAATACTTAGTTATTACACTTAGATAGTAATAAAAAAATAGTTAGTATTTTTTTTTCTTTGGAGAGAAAAAGTGGAAGGTTTAATTTAGTGGGTAATTATTAATTGCTTTTTTTTTTTATTGCAGATTACATGAGTTAAAGTAAGACCGGGTGGACTTAAATTTACTGATGCAAGATGGCTTGGAGATTTAAGGCTTCCAAGTATAAAAATGCAACTCCAATTGTCCCGAAGCCTGAGGCATGTATTAGGGACATTTGCGTGGGTTCATATCAAACTTATGGCAACAATATTGCGGCTTCTGCTGCCTTTATGGCATTTAATGTCGATCATAATGGTAAATAATTATTAATCTATAGTTTTAAATGGAGAAATTTTGGTAGTTGGAAAAAATTGACCCGGAAAAAATTTATTTATTTACAACTAAATCCAACAGCCGTAGTCACTAACAGGGTTAATAATCTTTACAAAGTAATTATTCTTGAATTATTTTAGTAATAGCCAAGAAAGTTAAATAATAAATTCAGATTGCAGCAATCGCTTCATAACTACTCGAGTAGGTAAACATAAAAAATAAAAATAACAAAAGAAAAAAGTAACAAATTTGTATGAAGAAAATTTGAGTAATTATAGACACAAATTAATCTCCAGTTACTGGAGGAGATTGTTACGATTACTGATTACAATGAATTTCTATCGAAGTGTTACAAATTTTTTGTAGATAAAGATGATAAATAACTGTCATTACTAAAATGTTCAAATTACTAATTAATCAAATTTATATTTTTTCTTTTCTTTTGTTTTATGAATTAAAGTCATTAGATAGTAACTTACTTAGATAGACTTTGCTTTGAGACAACTTTACTTTTCTTATTCTTACTGTATTATTATCATTTCCATTACTGTTAACTACTTTTATTATTACTATGTATTCATTTATATGTAAGGTCCTTAGGGAGCTAAGGCTTCAGGGTCTAAAATTTTAATAAATAAATAAAATAAATTAACACAATTTCATAAAATAGTTTGCATAGAGAATTAGGATTATAGTTAATAGAGAGATCAGACCAGTCAGTTCGGCAAAGTTATCAAAAATTCATATTATTTCATTATAATTATTATAAAATATCACACTCACAATTTTCCTGAAAAACAAGCACCCCCAGAATGATCGCTCCATTTTTTGTTTAAAAAAAAAAAAAAATTCGGGTCTATTTTTTCCGAGATTCAAAAATTTCATGTATGATATATTTTTTTTTCTAAATTGAAATTTTTTTATTATAATAAAAATTATCAAATATCTACTTTAGCTATCATAATTTATAAGATAAAAATAATCTGAATTATACAGAATATTTAAACAAGAATTTGATAATAAAAATCAGTAAAAATTCTTTAGTATAACATTATTGATTTCTGAAAATAATATAACTTGCAGGATCGAGTTTGGCGGTTTTACCATTGGAAGATTGCGGTAGAAAAAGCAAAACAATGCCACTACTGCACGCTCACGCGGATACAGTAACAGATATGGATTTTTCACCGTTTCATGACGGACTATTGGCAACTGGATCGCAAGATTGTCTGGTTAAATTATGGCACATTCCAGAAGCCGGGTTAGAAGAGTCACTGTGCAATCCTGAGTGCACGTTTTCACACCGGCAAAGACGAGTTGAAGTTGTTCGCTGGCATCCTACCGCAGAGCATTTACTGACAACAGTATCTTACACAAATTTATCACTGTGGGACGTTATTTCCCAGCAGGAATTATTCTCAAACAATGAGCACGCTGATGTAATACAGTCGCTGAGCTGGAAGTACGACGGAAGTCTATTGGCAACGTCTTGCAAAGACAAACAAGTCCGGATAATCGATCCACGGGCTAGTAAATCCATTGTCCAGATGTCCTCGAGTCACCAGAGCATCAAGGACTCAAGAATTGTCTGGCTCGGAAACGGTGACCGGCTTCTGACAACGGGATTTGATGCCGCGAGACTCAGACAAGTCTTCATACGCGACTTGAGGAATTTAAATGACCCGGTTAAGACTCTGGAGCTGGACTGCAGCACTGGAATTCTCATGCCGCTGTTCGACCCCGATACCAACATGCTTTTCTTAGCCGGCAAGGGCGATACGACCATAATGTACTTGGAGGTCACCGACAAGGATCCATTTTTGGTGGAAGGAATACGACACAGCGGGGAACAGACCAAGGGAGTTTGTTTAGTTCCCAAGCGGGCTTTGAACGTTATGCAAGCTGAAGTCAATCGAGTGCTTCAACTCACTTCCAATATGGTTATTCCTATTATGTATCAAGTGCCGCGTAAGGTCAGTATATTTTTATTTTATTCAATTTACAAGTTTAATCTTAAGCCACTTATGTTATGCTAGCTATTACTCACCCGAGCGGGCTCCGCTGGGCGCTTTATAGAATTATATTTCTAAATCTAGACTTGAAATTTAATTAGAGTATTGTTTTGACTTGCACAGATTCCCAATTCTATCGAACTCATTAAAAAAATTTTTAATGAGCATTGAAAGTTTCAGTCAAAGAAATTGCAGGTCTCATAAGTGAAGAAATCTGCCTAGTATATAAACATAACCAATAGAACTAAAAAATTTATTTTAAACAAATAACAATTGAGTAAAATAAATTTAGTTACAATAAAAGTTAATTATTTCTAAGGTAAAAGACCCAGTTATTGACACTGGCCTAGTTGTTTGACACAATTTTATTCTAATTAAAAAAATAAAATATTCTCAAAAAACCAATTGTCTTAAAATTTATAATTCAAAAATTATATTTATTAATTTATTAGAGTTGATTTTTTTTTTTTAATTACAATAAAATTGCAAGTGTCTATAACTAGGCCAGTGTCAATAACTGGGTCTTTTACTTTAAGTATTCCGATCGGTTCAGTAGTTTTCACAGTACAAAAAAAAACCGAACAAAAAACCCGGCTCTCCATTTATAAGTATAGATTTAAGTCTATCTAATTGATTCTTTCGTTATTTATAGACATACAGAGATTTTCATGGTGACATATATCCTGATACCGCTGGTTGTATGGCTCAAAATACCGCTGAGGCTTGGATTAAAGGTCACAATGCTCCAGTTCCTAAAATATCTTTAGATCCAGCAAAACGCGCCAAAGGAGAAGAACCAATAATGGTGAATAATTTACTTACTTGATATTTATAATTACTTTTTGTAGCTTGGAAGATTTTACACTTATTATTTTTACCTTGCGATACTGATGTGACTTAATTATAGCTCTTAATGGCACCAGTTATTTTTTTTAGTCGACAATAGATATGTAGTTTAAATTTTATAATTATTTTTACCTAGCACGTATTTAATTTATAGTTTTAAAATTATGATTTATTGATTTGGTTCACGTATTTGTATGATCTTTAGTTCTGTATGTGCATTATTATTATTTAATATTTCAGAGCACCAACTTGAGTGTTATTTCTTTATGAAAATATTTTTAAAATCCAAGTAGTGCGGATAAATTATTTATTCCTAGCACGTTGGAGATTTTTTTTGCCTCATCGAATAATGTGCAATGTTTTTTATGTTATTTTTATAATTTTATTATTATTGTTATCGTTGATGAAATTTAAATTCAATTTGCTATGTAAAAAAAAATTGAATAATTTGTGCATACTAGCGATAATACTTTTTTTTGTGCTGTCAATTTTGCAACGGCTTAATTAGTGGATCAAATTAGCGGCTTTTGTGTGTTGAGCTTTAAATGGGCTTGTAAATCAAACCAAAATGAAAACAACTTGATAATATTCATTAGATCCACAAAGGAAATCTGTCATCGCTGAAAGAAACCCAGCAGGAAATAAAAATAGAGAACGCTAAAGCAGCTAAGAGTTTGCACTCGACACCGAAAGGCTTTGTGCAGTCATCTAAAATACAGTCTATCATTCAAGAGCGGGAGAAGAGTGATAAGAAGGAAAAAGAGATGGAAAAAGACCGTCTGAAGGATAACAAAGAGAAAGATAAGGATAAGGATAAGGATAATAAGGAAAAAGATAAAGATAAGGATAAGGATAATAAGATAGAGTACGAGTTGGAGCGAATCGAGCAGCAACCTGTCAGATCAGATACCGATGAAGATTTAAAAGGAAAGATACAAAATGGACAATCAGTGCCTCCAAAGCCGCTTCCCAGATCCTCTCGCGCCAATAGTATTTCCGAGGAAGAACCTAAGCCTGTTGCTCGTCCTAGAACTTCACCGAGTACCGGCTCTGTTGTCACGTCCGTAAACCCCAATATAGTTGGAGGCTACAAGGTTCGATGGAAAACGTCACTCTTAGAGTTAATATTAGTGTTATAAATGTCAGATTATTAGTAGAAGTACATTTTTTATATAGTCTAATTAATTTATATCGATATTATTAAAAGAATAAGAAAAATTTTGTGTCCAGAATAGTCATATAAGTATTTAGGCTGCATTTGAAAATGCTCTATCTCTAGATACATAATTAAGAAATGACCTTGTATCTTGTGAACTATCGACATTTTTAAAGATATAAGCTCATTCCGATGTTACACTTATCGAGACCTTTATTTGAGTACCCATATCAATTTTTCATATATTTATATTGTATATATGTATATATATGAAAAATATATCAAAATGCATGTGGGTACTCAAATGAAAGCTTTTGATGAGTGTAACATCGGGATGAGCTTGTATCTTTAAAAACCTCAACATTTAAAAAAATACAGTGCAATTTAATAAATATCTTGTGAAGTATTGATATTTTTTAAGATATAAGCTCACTCCGACATTACACTCATCGAGACCTTTCATTTGAGTAGCCACATCGATTTTTCATATATTTTATATATTTATATATTTTACAAATACCATATATATAAAATATATAAAAAATTCCATGTGGGTACTCAAATGAAAGGTCTCGATTAGTGTAACATCGGGATGAGCTTATATCTTTAAAAAAGTCAATATTTAAGAAAGTACAGTGCAATTTAACAAAAGTCATTATTTAATAAAACAAATTTTTATTTATTTATAATTCACAAGTCACGGTAGTCATATAGTGACTGCAAGATTGCTAGTATTTATTTATTTAACTAACTAGCTTATAAATATTTTTTCTGTGTACCAAAAAAAATTTAGTACTCATGAAAATATTTATTTTTACAGCCAAGACTGGGACCAAAACCATTCCAAGCAAAATCAGGTAGCCAGGAATTTTCATTCGACAAGGTATTCTCAGTTCCGGTAGCACCAAGTACCGATAGTAACGGCTACACCACAGGAGATACAAACGCTTGTTCCGACACAAATGTGATCACAGACTCCGATAAGTCACCGACTTATGACAATGAGCGAATCAAGGAAGCAGAGAATGGGAAAAGTGATTCGAGCAGTATGGAAGAAGACGCAAACTCAAGCGACTCTGGGTACAAACCCAAGACACCGAGTACCGCTGAGCGACGTAAATTATTTGAGATAAAAGTCAAAGACGAGTCACCGGAGAACGAAGAGCCGGGGAATCTTGAGCGTGGAGGTGCCAATCGGAATTCAATCGCTGAAAGACGGAGGCTTTATGAAAGCAGGTCGGTCTCAGTGACCGACGGGAACCTCGCCGAGAAGGCGATGGGCTCTCCTACGGCTCTCCGGAGGAGAGACTCATTCAAGACCAAGAGCGAAGTAATCAAAGAAGACGATGTCAAAAAAATAGTGCCGATGTTGAGGCAGCAGAGTATGGATCCACGTTTGGAAAAGCCAGAACCTATCTCAACGCCAACTCCCAAGAGAATATCAACAGTATTTGGTCGTGTCTCCAAGTTCAGACACTTAAAAGGCACACCGGGTCATAAATCGACGCACATTGAGAACATTCGCAACATCAGTCGACAGATTTCTGGTGAATGCGACGGATTTCATGCCAACTCTGACCGCGTTGCCGTTCCTTTAAGCGGTCCGGGAGGAAAAATAGCAGTGTTGGAGCTTAAAAAAACTGGAAGACTTCCAGATGGCGTGATGCCAGCTCTGGTGCATGGCGCGAGCATAATGGATTTCCAGTGGGACCCATTTGATAATCAGAGACTCGCTGTTGCTTGCGACGACGGCATTATCAGATTGTGGGAGATCCCAGTCGGTGGATTGATCGAGCCGACAAATGAACCTAAATTCACAATTGAAGCGCATTCAGACAAAATTTATCTTATTAAATTCCACCCACTGGCTGCAGACGTTCTAACATCGGCTTCTTATGACACAACTGTAAAAATTTGGGACCTAGCACCCTTAAACTCAGGCACGGGCTCGGCAATCGCAAAGATAACATTAACTGGACACACAGATCAGATTTTCAGTCTCGCGTGGTCACCTTGTGGACAGTATCTCGCGACAGCTTGCAAGGACGGAAAGCTCAGGGTCTACAAACCGCGAGCTAGTGAGACTGCGATAAATGAAGGCAAAGGACCCGTTGGTACGCGAGGTGCTAGAGTTATTTGGGCTCTAGATGGCCGCTATCTTGTTGTCATGGGCTTTGATAAAGTATCTGAGCGTCAGATTATTATTTTTAAAGCGGATAAATTAAACTCTCCGCTGAACACTGTCGGGCTGGATGTCTCACCGGCTATTTTGATGCCGTTCTATGATGAAGATAGTTCAACTTTGTTCCTCACAGGCCGTGGAGACTCGACGATTTATACCTATGAAATCACTGAAGAAGCTCCCTACTGCTGCCCTCTGAGCCATCATCGCTGCGCTAGTCTACATCAAGGCCTTTCATTTCTTCCGAAGAATAAGTGTGACATTGCGAGTGTTGAGTTTGCATCTGCGCTCAGACTCACGAATAATACTATAGAGCCTTTGAGCTTCACTGTACCACGGATAAAGAGCGAACTCTTCCAAGATGATCTCTTCCCGCCGACTAGGGTCACTTGGACACCCACTCTCTCTTCTGCTGAGTGGTTCAGTGGCGTTAATAAACATGCGCCGAGGATAAGCTTGAAACCACCTGGAATGGACTGCTGTAAGTTTATTTTAATTCTAATTCTCTATCTCTAGATACATAATTAAGAAATGATCTTGTATTTTGTGAACTATTGACATTTTTAAAAATATAAGCTCATCCCGATGTTACACTAATCGAGACCTTTCATTTGAGTACCCACATCGATTTTTTATATATTTTATATATTTATATATTTCACAAATATCATATATATATATAAAGTATATAAAAAATGCCATGTGGGTACTCAAATGAAAGGTCTCAATTAGTGTAACATCGGAATGAGCTTATATATTTAAAAATGTCAATAATTAAGTAATGACCTTGTATCTTGTGAACTTTTGAAATTTTTTAAGATATAAGCTCATCCCGATGTTACACTAATCGAGACCTTTCATTTGAGTACCCACATCGATTTTTCATATATTTTATATATTTATATATTTCACAAATACCATATATATGAAATATATAAAAAATGCCATGTGGGTACTCAAATGAAAGGTCTCTATTAGTGTAACATCGAGATGAGCTTATATCTTTAAAAATGTCAATAATTAAAAAATGATCTTGTATCTTGTGAACGATTGACATTTTCAAAGATATAAGCTCATCCCGATGTTACACTAATCGAGACCTTTCATTTGAGTACCCACATCAATTTTTCATATATTTATATATATTACATATATGAATATATGAAAAATATATAAAAGTTCATATGGGTACTCAAATGAAAGGTCTCGAAGAGTATAAT